ACCATGAAATGCTACAGTGCACACTTATCATATCTCCCTCTCCTAGTATCTCATATTTAATTAAATGAACCTTTCTGCTTGGAATGAGACATCTGTCCAGAAAGAACATGCTGTATGAAATTGAATGCTTTTCAGCTTTGGGGACGAGCAGGTGCGATAAACAGGGAGGGCTTCATTTTGCTCACTATTGATTTCTCATGGACCTGCGCTATGGTGATGGCTTGCAAGAAAGTAGCATTCTGCTCTCTTCTACAAGAGGGAAGTACAATACAGAGTCTTTTAAATGGAGTACAATAGTACTACTGATTAGGAGGCAACAGGGTTTGGTCATTAGTTTAACTGAACTGTGAGCCAGGGTTCTGTTCCTACCTTTTCTATTTATTTAGCATGTGAGTTCTTCCCTGTAAAAATAGGACACTGAGATTTCCTTCTTGTAAAATGGGAATGGGAGATAATCTTTCCACTTCTTTGTAAAGCAGAGCTATGGATGAAAACTGCCAAATACAAACAGCTGAGAACAGAAACAGAAGAGCCCCAGAGCTTTTGCAGGGAATATTACAGGTTGTCAGATTGTAATTATCCAACTGGAATCTAGTCAGGACACCTGGACTTAATACTCTCCCTCCGATGAAAAGTGCCAGAAAATTTTTAATCACAAATTATTGGGACCTCAGTTATATGTCCTATCTGTAAGACAGCACTTTTTGCACTATAATGCAAACAGCCATGTATCAGGCTAATACATTCTTGCCTGTAGTGGGAACTGGGAATTTCCTAGATGGTGTGGTTTGCAATCAAAGTAAACCAGAGTTGAACCCCTTTCCCACCCCATTCCTGTCTAGCTAAAATAGCCAGTGTCTCTATATACTGATGAAGAATAACAAGCAAATGTGAAAATGCATAAATACAATATTGCCGGTGGCTAAGGATAATGTAAAGGTCAGCTGCAGTACAATGATAGGCTAGAGACACTAGGTCAAACCCTCTTCTGACTGAAGTCATTCAATAGCAAAATTCCCTTTGACATCAATGGGAACAGGGTCATACCTATAGTCACCTGTTTCAGAGTATGAGTGTTAGCAAATCTATTTAGGCAGTGTAGCTGTAGCTGTGTTGGTCCCAGGATCAGAGACAGACAAGATGGGTGAGGTCAGACCTTTTAATGGACCGGTTTGTGTTGGTGAGAGAAACAAGCTTTCAAGCTTACACAGAGCTCTCTCATGAACGGAAGTTGGTCTAATTTAACAGAAGTTGATTTAGTGGGGGATTGGTCCTGCTTTGAGCAGGGGGTTGGACTAGATGACCTCCTGAGATCCCTTCCAACCCTGGTATTCTGTGATAATAAAAGATATTACCTCTAACCTTATCTCTCACACATCTATGTGCATTTCAGCCATTTTGCTACAGAACTTGAATGGCACAGTGCTCGCCAAATACTGACCAGAATACAAGAGGGGAGAGCTGATATTTGCAGGGCAATTTGAAGCAGGAGGTGGTATGCACCCCAGATATTGTTTGCTACTGGTTTCCTTTCTAGCAAGACACTTTTGCAATGTTACGCTATGGTGACCTGGCTCAATACGAGGCATACAGTTTGCTAGTGTTTATGGCTTATTGGAAACGAGCTCATGGGCATATTTAGACATATTGAGACTGTATCACCCTGTGTCTTTCCTTCTGCCCTATGGACACTAAAGATAAACATAAGAGAAGACACTGACTAGCTTGACATTAGGCTGTATAGTGATGATATTTTCTTCTAAGCAATAGCTCATAAAATATGATTTACAAACTGCCATTAGGTAGAACTTTGATTAAAAAAATTAAAAGACCTGTTTTTTCCAAGCTTAATATGTCTGGAAAACATTTTGTATGATTCTGTTTATTTATTCTTATGAAATATTTGTCTGACAGTTATGATCATTGCAAGGGCCTCCAGTGTGTCTTAGAGCTTAATTGGCTGTTGACAACTGAGATAATGTGATAATCTTTCCCTGCATCAACAAACAATTTATAATACACAAGCTTCTGCGGTCCAAATGTCCTTTCCTTCTCCTCTTAACAATGCAATTTAATTTGATAGTGCATTGTTCACCCAACCATGGATGTAGAGGCTCTCTACACAAACATCCCACACACAGCTGGAATACAAGCTGTCAGGAACAGTATCCCTGATGATGCCACATCACAACTAGTTGCTGAGCTCTGTGACTTTATCCTCACGCACAATTATTTCAAATTTGGTGACAATATAAACCTCCAGACCAGTGGCACCGCTGTGGGCACCCGCATGGCCCCACAATATGCCAACATTTTTATGGCTGACCTGGAACAACGCTTCCTCAGCTCTCGTCCACTCACGCTACATTGATGACATCTTCATCATCTGGACCCATGGGAAGGAAACCCTGGAAGAATTCCACCGCGATTTCAACAGCTTCTACCCCACCATCAACCTCAGCCTGGACCAATCTACACAGGAGGTCCACTTCCTAGACACCACGGTGCAAATAAGTGATGGTCACTTTAACAACACCCTATACTGAAAACCCACCAACCGCTATGCCTACCTTCATGCCTCCAGCTTCCATCCCAGACACACCACATGATCCATTGTCTACAGCCAAGCTCTGAGGTACAACCACATTTGCTCCAACCCCTCAGACAGAGACCAACACCCACAAGATCTTCACCAAGCATTCTCAAAACTACGATACCCGCACGAGGAAATAAGGAAACAGATCAGCAGAGGCAGACGTGTACCCAGAAGCCTCCTGCTGCGAGACAAGCCCAAGAAAGAAACCAACAGAACTCCACTGACCATTACGTACAATCCTCAGCTAAAACCTCTCCAACACATCGTCAGTGATCTACAACCCATCCTGGACAACGATCCTTCACTTTCACAGGCCTTGGGAGGCAGGCCAGTCCTCGCTCACAGACATCCCGCCAACCTGAAGCATATTCTCTCTCACCAGCAATGACACACCGCACCATAGTAACTCTAACTCAGGAACCAATCCATGCAACAAACTTTGATGCCAACTCTGCCCACATATCTACACCAGTGACACCATCACAGGACCTGTCAAGGTTCCTCCCCCACTCTGAACTCTAGGGTACAGATGTGGGGACCTGCATGAAAAACCTCCTAAGCTTATCTTTACCAGCTTAGGTCAAAACTTCCCCAAGGTACAAAATATTCCACCCTTTGTCCTTGGATTGGCCGCTACCACCACCAAACTAATACTGGTTACTGGGGAAGAGCTGTTTGGACGCGTCTTTCCCCCCAAAATACTTCCCAAAACCTTGCACCCCACTTCCTGGACAAGGTTTGGTAAAAAGCCTCACCAATTTGCCTAGGTGACTACAGACCCAGACCCTTGGATCTTAAGAACAATGAACAATCCTCCCAACACTTGCACCCCCCCCTTTCCTGGGAAATGTTGGATAAAAAGCCTCACCAATTTGCATAGGTGACCACAGACCCAAACCCTTGGATCTGAGAACAATGAAAAAGCATTCAGTTTTCTTACAAGAAGACTTTTAATAAAAATAGAAGTAAATAGAAATAAAGAAATCCCCCCTGTAAAATCAGGATGGTAGATACCTTACAGGGTAATTAGATTCAAAACATAGAGAACCCCTCTAGGCAAAACCTTAAGTTACAAAAAAGATACACAGACAGAAATAGTTATTCTATTCAGCACAGTTCTTTTCTCAGCCATTTAAAGAAATCATAATCTAACACGTACCTAGCTAGATTACTTACTAAAAGTTCTAAGACTCCATTCCTGGTCTATCCCCAGCAAAGACAGAATATAGACAGACACACAGACCCTTTGTTTCTCTCCCTCCTCCCAGCTTTTGAAAGTATCTTGTCTCCTCATTGGTCATTTTGGTCAGGTGCCAGCGAGGTTACCTTTAGCTTCTTAACCCTTTACAGGTGAGAGGAGCTTTCCCCTGGCCAGGAGGGATTTCAAAGGGGTTTACCCTTCCCTTTATATTTATGACAGGACCTAACCAGATCAGCCACACCATCACCTTTTCATTCACCTGCACGTCCACCAATGTAATATACGCCATCATGTGCCAGCAATGCCCCTCTGCTCTGTACATCAGCCAGACTGGATAGTCCCTACATAAAAGGATAAATGGACACAAATCAGATATTAGGAATGCAATGTACAAAAACCTGAAGCAGAACACTTCAATCTCCCTGGTCACACAATAGTAGATTTAAAGGTAGCCATCCTGCAGCAAAAAAAACTTCAGGACCAGACTTCAGAGAAACTGCTGAAATTCAGTTCATTTGCAAATTTGACACCATCAGCTCAGGATTAAACAAAGACTGTGACTGGCTCGCCAACGACAAAAGCAGTTTCTCCTCCCTTGGGGTTCACACCTCAACTGCTAGAAGAGGGCCCATCCTCCCTGATGGAACTAACCTCATTATCCCTAGCCTGATTCTTGCTTGCATATTTATGCCTGCCTCTGGAAATTTCCACTACATTCATCTGACGAAGTGGGTATTCACCCACGAAAGCTGATGCTCCAATATGTCTGTTAGCCTATAAGGTGCCACAGGACTCTTTGCTGCTTTTACAGATCCAGACTAACACGGCTACCCTTCTGATACTTGTTCACCCAGTGTCTCACAAGGCACAGAAGATGCATTGCAATAGCTGATGTGGGGTAGCTGGGTAGAAAGAGAGGGGAAGCCATTATAGGAAGGGTGAGTGGAGCTGAGAAAACATACTAGTACCACTGCCAACTTTTTGGTAATGAGGGAATTTTGGCTGGGCTGGAGTCTGTAGCCAGTCTGGCAGTGCTTCCTAAAGCTCCCGCCTTCTTGTGAATTTGAGCCCTCTGGTTGGTTGCTTGCCCGCCTCCTAGGAGAGACTAACCAACCAGATCTGCTGCAGGCAGAGCTCTCTCTTCTCTCTCCATAGCAACCCGAAGCTGTTGGAGCAAAAGCCCAGCAGCTGAAGGTGGTGCTTCCCCCTCCTTACCTGTGAGCAATGGGGACAGGATGGCATCTCTGCTCCTCTGCCTCCCTTCAGCGCCCACATGGGAAGGGGCAGAGGTGGGTGAAAAGCCTCTGGAGCCACCACCCCGGCCTGAAAGAGGGGAGACCCTGATGCACCCTGCCCCAGGAAAGGGGGGTAAAGAGTCACAGGAGAAGACGAGGTGAGGCTGGGCTGGGGACAGAATTTATTGCTGGACAGGGGATGGGCAGATGTGGGGGTGAGAGTTCCTGCAACAGGGGCTGACATCACCTCACCCAATAAACTGGGGAGAGTAGGCAACACTAAATCTCTGTCTCTCTCAGGCACATGCACACATGCATACAATGGGCAAAGGGGTGTGTCAAAAATCAAAACACCAAAAATAACAATAGTCTTTTTTTTTTTAAAAAAAAGACTTTTCTGGCCAATCTCATGATTTCTGGGGGTCTGACTCATGATCTTTGATCTCTGGAGGTTGGCGGTACTGGAAGGGTAAGTGACCTAAGGAAGGGTAAGTGGGGACAGAATGTCGGGGGGCGGGAGAGGCAGGTACAAAGGGACTGAGTAATAATTGTGGAACACCAGTAGCCGGGGGCCTGGAGTGAGACCTGCAGTGGTTCTCCATGGAGGGGGAGCTAGTAGAAGGACTGCGATTGGCAGAAGTCTCCAGGGAGCGGGCAAGAAGTGGCCCAGGGAACTATGTGGCAAGGCAGATTGGAACAGCGGCTTTGTGTCCCAGCCTGGAGCCTTGAATTGAGGGAGGGTCCTAATTCCCCTATGGAGGGGGAGCCCCTGTGATCATGGGGAAGGACTTTATCTGGGCTGGGCCAAGGGAACTATTTGATCCCAGGGTGAGCTGAAGGAGCATGTGTTATTATTTGGCCTTTTATTGCCTCTGCAGGGAGAGGTGGGGGACTGTGACTAAAGTCTCAAATCCACACACCAGCCCAGGAAGACTCACTCCATGGAAAGTGAGGCATAGCCATACATCTGCTGAGGGATCAGGTAAGCCAGTCTTCCTACAGTACCATAATGGCTACAGAAGGGAATCTGAGAGATAGACATACCAGACCAAATTCATCCCTGATGTAACAGCATTGATGTCAAAAAGGCTACTTCACAGATTTTGCAGACAAGAACTTCCACTGGGTTGGCGGAGGGGTGAAGTGGGGGGGGGGTTTGCCCTTGGGTTCAGCTCCCTTGTTTCGAGTAGATTTTGGCTGTGTGTGTGTGTGTGTGTGTGTGTGAGCATATTTAAATTGCAAGCGCTCGGGGCAGCGATCCTCCCTTCATGCTGTCTGCAAAGTGCTTAGCAAACTCTTGGCCCTGTATAAAGAATTAAGAATTTCATGCCTTCCCTCCCTGAAGACGAAGGAGATGTAAATGCCTGTATGGGGAAAGTGGGGTTTCTTTTACTGAGTCACGTTGGCACTGTTTGCTAAAAAGAAAGCAAGTATTTGTGAGAGCTTTACGGGGAAGAAAAAATGCCGTGCAAAGCAATTTCCTAATAGGTGCTTGTCTATTTGCACTGCCTCCTCTGATCTAGAGTCCTCCCAGGGCTGACCCTTGCTGTTGTATTGTCTTCATGCATTGGAACCCAACCACCCCAAAAGCCAAAGGAAGCAGGGGAAGAAGAGGATGAGTCAGCTGGACCAATCATATGGTCTCTGCTCAGAGGCTCTGTTCATCAAACCCCCCTTTAGTGCTATTGTTCATTGATGAATGTTTGACTGAATATTTCACTGTAGGTGAGGATTTTTAACATCTGCTTCTCCATCCGGTCCCTGCATGAGGGAGTTTGAATGAGAGGCAATGGGATAACTGACCTCTTGGTAGTGGTGACTCGGCCAGTCACTCCCTCCAGTGAGTAGTGAGGCAGTGAGCAGAGGGATTGTTTCTCTTCACCATTTGATGGCAAAGGGGTTCCTGCCTCTTGTGTCAATGTTGCATTGTGGTTTTTTTAAGCAAGAAAAGAAATGTGAACAATGTGATGTGTAATAGGCAGATTGGTGATGTCTGAGACATTTCCCTCCTCACTTTGTTTACCTAAACAGAACACAAAGGGAATCTTTTCTACAGGTCTACACTACAGAGTTAAGTCAACGTAAGGCAGCTTACGTTACCCTAACTCTGTAAGTGTCTACACTAAAATACAGCTCCCACCACTGTAACTTGCCTGCTACACCAACTTAATATCTTCACCTCTGCAGGAGGCATGGCGCTTAAATCAATGTAGTTAGGTTGATGCAGTGTCAGTGTAGACGGTGCTTTGCCTGTATCGACTGTTGCTGCCTTTCAGAAACCATCCCGCAATGTCCCTGATGCAGTTAAAGCCGTGCAAGTGCTCCTGGTAAGGATGAGCACTGCTGACACTAGGAGCGTAGCGTGGACGTGTAAAACCAATTCAGTTACTGCGGTGGCTGTATGTCTATGTTCCTTAGGTCAACTTAATTTTTTAGTGTAGACTTGCCATAAATCTTCAGTTATTATTTTATAAACCACATTATGCTTTTCACCCTGACTGAGAGGTACAGTCAGTTTCTCTCGTTCGCTCTCTTTCTGTCATATGTGCTAAATGTTTAGCTAAGGTGCTGACTGTCCCATCCCCTGCACAGCATGTAAGGGAAGTGAAGTGGTATAGAACACACTAATTTAAATGCAAGCACTATTATGGTCCTTAGCACTTCCAAGCACTTTGCTTGTTCAGTGATGCAAAAGAGGCCATGGGCAAACCCAAAAAGAACATGGCCAGACCAAAATCCCCTGTGTCCTTTGGTTTCACCCACTCCCATCCAAGTGCATGAATAAGTGTAACCCTTCTGCCCGTCAGAGTTGGCAGCAACAAGGGCCGGGTTCAGTATCTAGGGGTTCCATTCCAATAACACAATGCAAAACCGGCTCGAGCCCCCACCCAGTGACCTGGGACAAATATATACCACCCCCGCTGGGTGCCTCCAAGAGTCAATACTTCCCCTCTTGCAAGCACAGAGTCTGAGTGTAGCAAAAAGCCTTTTAATAACAGAGAGAAAGAATGTGGCATTATGTGGCATTATGTTGGGGAAACACCACCAACAGGATTCCTAACACAACCCATGAGCAAAAAACCCACCCCATGCAAATTGGGGCATGTCCTTTCCCTTTGGTTAGAATCATAGAATCATAGAATATAAGGGTTGGAAGGGACCCCAGAAGGTCATCTAGTCCAACCCCCCTGCTCGAAGCAGGACCAATTCCCAGTTAAATCTTGAGTCCAGCAACCCAAAATCACCCAAAGTCTCTGTCCCTGGTCAGGGCAGCCCCAAAGTTCGAAAGTTTATCTGCAGAGTTTTACCTCCCAACCTGGGTGGAGATTGGGGGGGGTTAAAGGGCACCTTATGTGGTCCAAAGCTGATTGCCCCACCTCTCCATGGGGCTCCGCTCTGCCAACCACCCCCATGAGCTGCTCCAGGCATCCGAGAAACTGCTCTGCTCCACCAGCCGCTCTCCTCTGCCAGCCATACCGCAAACTGCTCCGCCATATATCTTCAGGCTCCCCCACTACTTAACACAACACTCAGTGATTTCAGCTCTTAGTAAGTTTAGCTCTTTCGTGATTTCTGCTTGTAGGAGGGGAGCCTCAGTGCTGGTGCACTATTAGCCCAAAGCAAATTCAGCTCAGCAGCCTGTAACTAGACTCCTAATAGAATCAAAATTAGCTCTGATATTCCACAGTGGAGAGAGAAGAAAATGCAATTAGCATATAAGGCCCTCACCAGGGGTCCATGCCACCAAGTATTAATACTTGTCCCCAGCCTCTCTCCATTCACTGGGTTTTTGGAATGCATGACCCTTGCCTAGCGAGTGCTGCTTAGTTGATGGTGAGTCCCTCCATCATAACAAAAGGCCAAGTACAGTTCCACTGTCCTTGATTCACATAATCAGGATAATAACAGTTTATTCCTGCCCCAATAACAGAGAAACTGGGGCTCCAACAGCAGCCAAAGTGACCATCTAGACGGGGTGGATGTGCCTATGCAAATGAGATCAGCCCCTGAAGTTCTTTTCTACAACCCACCATGACTCGCCACCAGACGTCAGGGGAGAGCTCATCCAAATGAAGTAGCATCGTGTTCCCTGTAAAAGGCATTTCAGGGCTTGTCTACACTTACAGCACTGCAGCGGTGCAGCAGCTTAGTGAAGATGCTATGTCCGTCAGTGTAGGTATTCCCCTCTCCGAGAGGCAGTAGCTATCCTAGCCGCTGACTCCATGGGTGCTCCAGGGCTGGAGCACCCATGAAAAAAAATTAGCGGGTGCTTAGCACCCACCAGCAGCCAAGGTCTCCTCCTGCCTCTAACTCCTGCCCACTGGCAGCCCCTGCCAATCAACTCCTCCTCCTCCCTCCCGGCACCTCCTGCATGCTGTGGAACAGCTGTTCAGTGGCGTGCAGGAGGCGCCAGGAGGGAGAGGGAGGAGCGGGGATGGGCATGCCTCGGGGAAGGGGCAGAGTGGGGTGGGGTGGGATGGGAGCGGGGGTGGAAAGAAGTGGTGCGGAAATGAGGTTTTGGGAGAAGGGGTAGAGTTGGGGTGGGGTGTAGAGCTGAGAGGGGCTTGAGCACCCTCAGTAAAAATTAGAAGCCAGCACCCGTGGTAGCTATGGCAACAGGAGAAGCCCTCCCATTGACAAAGTGCTGTCTACACTGGGAGTTAGGTTGGCATAACTGTGTCACTCAGGGATGTGGATTTTGCACACCCAGAGCAACGTAGTTATACCAACAAAAGGTGGTACAGTAGGCAAAGCCTAAGGGTTTGTGCCGCTTCCTTTGAGGATTCAGAAACTGCTCCAGCCCCATCACGGGTGTGATCCTAATTAGTCAGCTCTGCAGATAGAAATACAAATACGCTCTCCCCCTGTATCTACCTGATATCCCATTGCTGCCATCACCAGATCTGTGACTGTCCCAGCTGTCAGGATGGTGAGCAGCTGGTTTGTGTAGTTAATAACAGTGCTTCCCCTGTTAGCTAGATAGCTGGAAGTACTGAATGCTTCCATTCCCCACTCACCTCGCCCAGGCTCTGGCTTTCCAGTATGTTCTAAATTCAGCTTTTAACATCAGGAATGGTGGTTTAGCGGTGCGAGCACATGCCTGGGATTTAGGTTAATTTGACTTGCCCAATACCATGTGCTTTCTGTGCCTGTATATCTGTAAAGCTGGTGTAGGCTTTTGTTACTCTGCTTTTTTTCTTTTACAATTCACATCACTTGTACACAGCTGAAAGAGAATTTTTGTATTCTGGAATCGCCTGCTTTCCGAACCCCCTGGGCCTACTTCTCCTCTCACACCAGCCTGACTGATGACTCCAGTGAAGCTATTCTGGATTTACAAGCAATGTAAGTGAGACAAGAATTAGGCCCTTCACCCTTAATAAATGGGAGGCTGCAACTCTGAAGTATTAATAGAATATGCTATTAGGACCTTTATCACGTAGAAGTTATGTGTAGACACGAGTGGGTAGCAGAATTTTCATATTAGAGCACTTTTATAGGTAGTAAGTACCCTGCATTTAATGGTGGTCAGTGTATTGTACTATGCCTTTCTTTTCAAGACCATTGTACCAACAAGACCATTGTACCAACTTAACTAAATTAATACAGCCACATGGGATGGGTGCGCTCATTCCAGTTTGAGTGCCTTCAGCGTAAATGCATTCCTTACCAATGTAAGCTCTGTCAATATAAGGCACTCTTACACCACAATAAGAGCGGGTTCTGTTGTATTAATGTAGATGGAATAAATGGGCCAAAGGAGTTAACATAACCTGTCACTGTCCAACATTAAACTGTGTTAGTCAAAGTTTGGGGTTTGGCATACAGAGACCTCAGCCTGCTTAGTACCGTGGTACAAACACTCCATTAAAAATCTTTTGAACCTTTTATTAAAGATACAGCAAAGATGGAAAAACAGTTAAAGCATTTGAAATGTAAAGTATTAAGTAAGGGTTTCATTTTAACTGCATCCCTTGTTCCCTTTCACTGGAGAGAGTTTTTAGAAGGAAAAGCCTTTGTTTGATAGTCTCTTAGATGATATCAAAGACAGTAAGAACTGTCCTTTGGCGGAAAAGAGGTTACCTGCTGCGGGCTGGAGCTGCTGTTGTCAAAGGCCAGACCTGTTTCGTCCCAGGTGGTGTTTGGGATTCAACCAGAGCTAGTTGGAGTCAGTCAGGGACGATGTCGTGTGGGTCCCTCTCTCTCTGGCCCAGTTTGGTCAGGACATCTCTGAGGATTAGAAAGAAGAAGGTTTGGGATCCCAGGAGATGGAGTGGCAGACATGATAGCAAATCTCACTCCCAGATTTTTCTCTAAAGTGTCTTTCTAGAAGGACCCCAAAAGCGACTGATGGGTGGAATAGTCCATCCCTGCACTATTTTGTCCACCAACTAGGCCAAGTTTCTGACACCAGTTTTGGTTCATTGATTTTCGGTTCCACACTATTCTTATTTACCAGGCATAATCTTAATACGGTCCTTGAGTTATATCAGTAGGCCTTTTTGTTTGGGCTACATCAGTCTTTCTCTCTCCCTTTTGTACCTTTTCCCATCAACATTTGTTGTTATTGGTTATTTTGACTTCCTATGGACTTACTCACTTTTCACAGTTGAGTTGACAATTAGGGTAAAATTGTAGACCTGATTATTACAACAGTCCACACAAAGGAAACCCCTGATTTAACTAAATTGGTTTCCAACAGATTTCTCATGTTGACAAGGCCTATGAATCAGGACCCCTGGGTTCTTTTCCTAGTTACTTTTGACTTACTGTATGACTTTGGCGTTGGTAAGGAATGCCTAACCTCTTTTTGTGCTTCAGTTTCCCAGGGGTGATGTAAGTCTCCATTAATCAAAGTGTACAAAAGCTGCAAGACATTCCAATGATACATAATGCATAGGTGCAAAGCATTATTCCGTAATAATAAAAACTGGGAAAGTTTTATGCTTCACAAAATCTGAGCAGTGTGGATGTTTCGCAGCAATGTGCTGCATAATGCAGTGCACTGCATAATTATTCTTTCAGTACTGTCATGTTGTATGGGATAAATACATATGGTAAATAAAATAAAATCAACATGCTGGGATAATTATAAGCTATTTTTATAAAAGGCCCATAAAACTGACATATAACAGGCCAAATTCACCCCTGTGGTAAGTGGATGCAGCTCCATTAAGGCCAAAGGAGGTGCACATGTTTATCCTAGGGCTAAATTTGGTCCAGTGGGTAAAATTCATTCCTGTTATAAACATACATTGCAGCAGACTGAGCCTGTGTAAATAAAGCCAACGATCAGAGCCCTTCATTTCAGGGAGCATCCTTAGCAGCTTTCTCTTTGTCGGCAAAACAAAACTCCTATAATTTTTGCTACTCTGTTTGTATTTGTACACCTATATCCCCTTTCTTAGTTCCATATGTACTTCCAGTACCTACTCCCTGTTCAGGGTGAGAAACATCCATTACCTAAGGAGTACAGTGTTTGGGGAGCCATGTGCAGAGGCGAGTGGCCTGGTAGGCAAGGCTGAGCGCTTCCCAACAAGGCTGTAGCCTGCCATCCTTTGATCCCTGATCCCTTGACAAAGGGGTGGGACTAACTGAGGGAGAACAAGGGTTTAAAAAGCCAGCTGCCAAGTGACCCGGGAGCTAGTGACCAGGGGAGTTTGGTGAGGGAGTTTAGAGGGGAGCATGAGAGCCAGATACACCCAATAAACAGTCTCTAAACTTAGGCCAATATCCCCCACACCCAATAACACCCAAACAAAAAACCCTGAAGGAGTACAAGTGACGCTGGCAGAAATCCAGCAGCACACTGAGGACTACCCAGTTTATTGTGCTGAATGCAGCTGTATGATTCCCTGCCATGTGGGCAGGTGCCAGGTGTGTGCATTTCAGGCAAGCAGCTCATGGCCCTCAGAGACAGAGTACAGGCTCTGCAAACCAGAGGGGCTGAACTGGAGGCCTTAAGGGAGGCAGGGAGGTACATAGACCAGACTTCCCAGGACACAGAAGAGTGGGGCCCTCCCCTCATCTGACAGCCTCTGTGCTGTTGGGGAGGAGCAGAGGGAATCAATCCCATAATTGGGAACATCCTTCCAGATGATGTCATATCCTCTTACACTGAGGATACCCCTCCAGGAGCAGGAACCCCAATTATTAGGAAGGAGACTAGTAATGGGGGATTCAGTTATTAGAAATATAAATATCTGGGTTAATAATGACTCGGAGAACTATGTGATGAATTGCCTGCCACGTGTGAAGGTTGCGGACCTTTCAATACATCTAGACAGACTTATGTGCAGTGCTGGGAAGGATCTGGTGGCTGTGAGATTTGTACGTACCAGTCACATAGGGAAAGGTAAGAGAGAGGTCTAGAGGCCAAATCTGGGCTGCTAGATAAGAGATTAAAGTCCAGGACCTCCATGGTAGCATTCTCTGAAAAGCTTCCAGTTCCATGCACAGGGCCAGTTAGACAGGCAGAACTGCAGGGCCTCAGTGCGTGCATGAGTTGATGGTGTTGGGAGGAGGGATTTAGGTTTATTAGGACCTGGTGAAACATTTGGGAAAGGGGGAGCCTATACAGGAAGGATGGGCTCCACCTTAACCAAAATGGAACCAGATTGCTGACATGTAAAATAAAAAGGTCGGAGAGCAGTTTTTAAACTAAGGGCTGGGGGAAAGCCAAAAAGTGCAGAGGAGCAGGTGGTTTGAGACCTCCCTTAGGGTAGGATTTATTACAGGAGACACTCTGAATCCTAGTAAAGAGGAGAGTAAAGAAGTTGATAAAGTACAGGTAGGATATATAGAGAGACAGGCCAATGAAAAATAAACCCATTCATTTGCATCACATGATGGCACATATTGACAAATTTTATAAGTGTTTGTATAAATATACGAGATGTCTAAATAGTAAGAGGGATGAACTTGAGTGGGTGGTATTAAACGAGTGTACTGATGTCATAGGTATCACAGAAACTTGGTAGAACAATGATAAACAAGGGAACACAGGAATAAAAGTAGGTACTGGGAGCTGTGCTGTTCAACATAATCATTAATGATCTCGAAAAGGGGGTAAACCGTGAGATGGCAACGTTTGCAGATGCCTGCCCACTCCACCTTCCCAGCTCTGCCCCTCCCAGTGCGCTCCACCCTTCCCCATTTCTGTTGTTGCCCCGTTGTGGGAAGACGTATTGGCTGTGGCAGGAACTCAATTGCCTGCTTTGTGGTGGTGGATACTCACTGGCGGGCTCATGGTGCTTTTTGCTAGTAAACAGGCTAATTGTCTCCATTGAAATTTGAGCTGCTTGTAGGGTTTCCAATCTTCCTGCTTTTGCCGGGAGTCTCCCGGAATCAGGCTCTATCTTCCGTAGGCTACTGAAGCCCTACCGGGAGATTTTAGGCACTAAAAGTCCAGCAATGCAGCAGGAGTAAGGCAGGCTTCCTGCCTGCTCTGGCCCCGCAGGGCTTCTGGAAGCGGCTGGCACACTGGCCTTACCCCAAGCACCAACTCTGCAGCTCCCATTGGCCGGGAACTGAGGCCAATGGGAGCTGCGGGGGCGGTGCCTGAAGGCGGGGGCAGTGCGTGGAGCTCCCTGCCCCCCCCCACCACCCCCATGGCTAGGGGAACCAGACGTCCAATTTTTAAAGGGACAGTCCCATATTTAAGCCCTTCTGCAGGTGTCCTGACTTTTTCTTAAAACGGGCAAATTGTCCTGTATTTTCTGTCTCTCTCCCCATCAGTATTGGCAGATCCTGCTGCTGGCCAGATCCCTGCTTACCAGCCACCCACCCACCAGCGATGAGTGGGGAAGGGGGGCAAGGGGGATGGTGTCCCTAGCCTCTGTTTGTCCGAGGGTGGAGATGGATGGCAGGAGAGAGATCACTAGATTATTACCTGTTAGGTTCACTCCCTCTGGGGCACCTGAGTTTGGCCACTGTCGGCAGACAGGACACCGGGCTGGATGGACCTTTGGTCTGACCCAGTATAGCCGTTCTTATGTTCTTATGGGGGTCCAGTGGCTGACGATGGGGGTGGGTGTTCAAGGTTGGTGGCGAGGCAAAGATGCAGCGTGCCGGGCTGGCCGCTCCCCCTGCTGGTTCATCAGCGTAGCCCCCGCTGCGTGCCGGTTCCTGGCCAGCAGGGTCTTTCCCCCGGTCCTGTTTCCAGGGGGCACTGGCTGTGAGCTGCAGTGGCTGGTGAGTGCCGGCAGGCACCAGGTGGTGGCCAGTTATGTGTCGCCTCTGCTGCCCACCCATCGGCCCATTATGTGCTCCCCCTCTCACTGTCCTCTCCCTGCTTTGCCTCTTCACCCCCGCTCCAGCCCCGCTGTTCCTCCATATCC